AACAAGCAAAAAATTAATTATATTAATTTAACTATTTCAATAGAATTACTTATAAGGAAACTATTAATTTATGTAGCTTAATAGAGGATGAAATATTAAAGTTAAACTAAATTACAGAAGTCTAAACATATAAATCCTATTATATATGAATTTAAAAGCAGAATATAAAATTTATTATAGGAAAATTTATCAATCATATTTTCATCTCATAAACTTAAAATACATAACAATATCACAATCAGAATCTATAGAATCACATTTATATGACTTTTAAGTAGAACACCTCAAGTATATTTTCTGTTCAAGATGCAAAGACATTCAAATAAAAAGTAAACAACTTCACTTCTTAAATAATTATTATATATCTCAAAAGACAATTTATATTAGAATATAAATCACAATTTTACTAAAAGAAGACCATGCAGTTTTATTTTATATTATTAGATTTACTCAATTTCAAAATAATATTATGTATATAAATTAATAATATTAAGTTTAACTCAAAATTATAAATTAACAAGATTAATTGGATATTAATAAAATATATTAACTAAAATACAATCAATAATCATCCATAATGAATTTGTATGTTTATCAACAATACATAGTTTCGCTGAATTATAATGCTCTTATAAATATTCTACCTATAAAGATTTTTTCAATATTTTCACTTATGTTTTCCATCATTTGAACCTTGTTCCCATTCCTAATCTTTTGCAATTCATCAATTTCTAATTTTTATTTAAAGTTCTCTTTAAGATTTAATGTCTCTTATTGTTTATCTTCTACAATTCTAAAGAATCTATAAACATTAAACTCCTTTCCATAAATTATCAGTCTTTTTCAGAAGTTCGTTTGTTTTCTAAATAAAAAACATATTATATTAAGGAATTTTTTTAACTTCTTCTACAAGTTCAAATTAGAAGCACACCTTCCTTTGATTTATGCACAGGTATATTATGAAGTAAAATTCATTATTAGTATACAGCTTTCATAATCAATGAAGTAGTTTAGTCAAATATTTTCCTTAGAATAATACCTATAATAGGTAGACTAAAGAGGTGGTAGTAGCAAGTTCTTATCTTATCTTGTACATTGATTCTGAAATATTTAGATGAGAGGTAAATTGTATATAAAAACTGCTTAATGAATGAAAATATAGCTTAAAAATTCATAGCGGCTAAAGTTATCTGATAAATCTTATAATTTTTCAAAAATAGGAGCATGAAAATTTTATAATCGTAAAACTTAAAACCATAAAAAATTGAGCACTCAACAAATGTTAATTAACAATCCTAAGCCACAATATTTTGTACGAAAAAATTGAAAAAATTAATCATCTAGCAAAATCTAATATAAATAATTTGGATGTTGAATAACATGTCATTGTGAATGTCCCCGGTGTATAGCAAGGTCCACACTCGCTGCGTAGGAGTGTTTAAATATCTCTGTGTTGTCCATAAGTATGTCACATAACGGGCAGATCATTAAGTCATCAAACTATATCCTAGCAAAACGGCCTATTATCCCATTTAATATCATGAGTTTCTCGG